GCTCAATCGAGCACGGAAGTGGAACAGGAGAGATAAAACGGTGGGCTCCGTATTTTTGTTTGAGCAAGGCGTCCTAGATTCATGTTTGTCGTCCCGGTTTTGAATGGAGGTGGCCCTCCTGGAATTTTCGGTCAGACTCGGGATCACCACGAGTTGGTTTGGTTGGGCGGGCATCGTGCTATGATTTAGAGCGCAAGAATGGTTAGGTTAGCTGAATACAATTAATTCAGCGATCTGGATCTATTGTTGGCATTTACACTTGGAATTAATCTACGAGTCTACTGGCTAGCTATATGCTTGTATAGGTAGGCTTGATTATTGTGGGTTTCAAAGCGAAGAATATCTATTATGCTGATGCTTGCTACGATTGCTAATTCGTGATGCATTATTGTTGTTATGGTTAAAACAGTATGTCATCTAAAAGGGGTAAATACATGACGCAGACGTGCAAAAGGTCCATGACAGCTAGACTGTGTTTACATCTTAGTCACCTCGGGTTTGGAAGGAGTTTATCTAGACGGCATTCGGGGCTCGATACTTTAGGTGCCTTACATCCTACACCTAGGCAGTCAAGGGTTGGATAGATAAAGACGTAAGCAGATGGTAGGTAGGTAAATCCAATGTCCGTTTATCTATTTTATCTGGTTAGGCTAGGTGATATCTGTCATGGGGGTCTTCTCTCTCGTTCTGCGAGATTCATTTATCCCCGAGAGAGAGAGAGAGAGAGAGAGAGAGAGAGGCCTTGGCTTGCGGGTTTCAAAGGAAGGAAGGAAGGAATATGTGTTCATGTATGATATGTAGAGAAGATAGGTAGCTAGGGTTCGGCCGAGGATTCGGGTAAGCAAGTAGTGTAAGTGATGTGTGTAAGTAGGTAAATGGACATGGGTATCTGTGCCGCGTAGCGGTGTGGGCGTAATATAATGTACCTGTATGTATGTATGTATGTATGTAGAGAAAGTGAAAACTCCGAAGGATTGGGAACGATGGAAGGAATACATTTAGGTAACCTAGTACCTTAACCTAGGTGTGTAAGGCAATACATAAATACCGCGCGGATAGTCCCGGCGGGTATGTATGTATGTATGTATTAGATAAGCACTCGGAACCCGACGAGGGGATGGGGGATTAATCATTTGACTCGGGGGGTTGTTTAGGGCAGGATTGCCGGTGCGTGCGTTAGTTCGGGTTGGCAGACCCGGTTAGGGAGGGAGGGAGGGGGACAGAGAGGGATTCATCGGATGCCGATTGCGCTTGGTGGATGGGATGAAGCTATTTACGTTATAGGGAGGTATGTAAGTGAGTGAGTGAGTACATAATCTATGATCTATGGTAGGTGTGTAAGTACCTAGGCAGAGATAAATCCCCGGTAGGAAGGGGAGTCTACAGACATATGCTTGCTTGATTCTCACCATCCATGCATATGTACCTAGGGTGTTGTTGGTAGGTGATGGATGTCCTTGCATGCCTGCATGTCTACATGCCACCCGCGCCGGCGGCTTAATAATATCCTGGAACCACTCCCGGTCTAATGCCGTATGCTAGCCGCTCCTTCGGTCTATCACCAAGGGACGGCCCGTAGGTATCAGGGCGAAGGCCAAGCAGCTAGTCGCCGGTGTTATCGCAGAAGCGTGGGCTGGCGGTTGGGCTTTGCCTAAACGTGGCGTGTGGTTAAATGTCGTGATGCTGTCTGTCTGTCTGTCTGTCATTGTCGTCGTCTCCTAGGATCGGGTAAGCAAGTAAGCCGATGCAACGAATGGCTCCTTCTTACGCCCCGCCGCTTGTCTGTTATAGGTATGTATGTAGATTAGGTGTGTAGATGGATTGTAGATTAGGTCGTCTGGATCAAGGCAGCAGCGTCCTTCCGAAGAACGTCGGGTCCCTGTCGAGCTGCTCCTCGACCCACGCGGGCCAGTCGTTGTAGCGCCGGTGTTCGGCGTCCACCTGGCGGTTGAGATACTTGAGCCAGCGGACCATGCCTAGGTTCATGCTGCCGTTGTTCTTGTTGCTGCCATCTCCATCCTGGTCGTGATTTTGGTGCCGCGGCTCGCGCGCGCGTAGCCGGTGTTCGGTCTCGGTCACCGGAGCCATGATCTGCTTGATCGCGATCCAGTGCGCGGCCAGCAGCGTGCACGTCTGGTTCTCCGGGTCGACGAGCCGCTGGAACCGCGCGTGCGGCAGCTGGATCCACCACCCGTAGTGCTTGCACAGGAACTCGTAGGCGCGGAAGGCGGAGTCGCCCAGGGCCGCGGCCATGTCCAGGAGCAGGCGGCGGTACTCGGTTTCTACCTCGTGCTGCTCGCATAGGGGCCCCAAGCCCCGGATGCTGGAGACGGCCATGTCGACCCAGTCCCGACGGATGGGAGGCAGCGCTTCCATGAAGGGGCGCAGGAGCGCGGCGGACTCGTTGTCGTGGAGGTTGCGGAAGAGGAATTTCGTGTTGCGCGTGCACATCTGGATCGAGACGAGGGTTATTCCGCGGCAGAAGGTCATGAACTCGGCCATGCCGTCCTCGAGGACCACGGATTGGAAGGTTAGTGCGAAACAGGTTGCTACTGGTTGGGGGGGGGAGGTTGGTTAGTAGAGAAGTTGGAGGATGGTTGACGTATGTATTAATAGTTTGGGTAAGATAGTAAAGGGTGTTTGGGGTGTTGAGTCTGATGGCATGCTCTAGTCCTAGGATGGTTCAGAGAGGGAAAAGCTATGTTGGTTGTATAATAGTGAAAAGGGGTTAAGGGGTTGGTAGTCTTCCCCAGTTGGAAAATAGGGGACACGGGGATAAAGGGGGTAGGTGACGTTACGTACTAAGGGCGTTTCCCTCTTCAAAAGTATTCGATTTTGGCACTTCGCTCAGCGCCTTCTTAATGGCTCGAATTGCCTTCAGCCGGTGCGACATAGCGAAGGTGACTAGATTAGGATCTTGCGACATGAGATCGGACGCCGCGAGGCCCAATATCGCGTGCATGAGATACTCGTACTATCATTTTCAGTTGATTAGTACCCTGGCTTTAAGATTGACTTCGTTGCGGCGCGTACATTCTGTGATAAACATGGAATCTCATGAGTCCATATGGTCTCGTTCCCTAAGGGTTGATGGGGAAAGCACGTCTGCAAGAAATGCTGGAATAATCGCATATCTTGGAGACTGAATAGCAGGACCTGGTTCTGTGGCTTTGCGCTTGTTGGTAATGGTTCTCATATAATAGACAATAACTATGGGGGGTTCATACTTGGTGTATGACTCGTGGAACTGCCGGATATTCACATTTCAGCCCTGTCTTTGTACAATGCGCGCAAGCTGGGCGCGTTTCTTGACACTATTTCTCGATATTAGTATTTTGAACTGCAATGGTTATACATAAGTTCCGAATCTCGAATACCTTGATGCGTCGTCTCTTGCAGTTGTAACACCCGCGCCGACTCTTCGTGTGGCCTCGCCGTTCATATCTTTGTCTCTGAGCCAAACTGCTCCTGGTGAACGCGGTCCCCGGGGACATAACGCTAGACATATCGTCCAACGCCAAGATGGAGCCAGGAGCACCATCGCCGGTGAGATAGTTGATGTCATCGTCCAGAGAGAAGTACGTATAATCAAAGCCATCTCCACTATCCAAGCTCACACGAGGGAGGATCCTGGGCTGAGTTGGGTTTGAAGGTTCCATCTAGCCTCTATTGAATATCTATCCATCGGATAGACTGGACTTAGAAAAGGTTCAAATGAGATGATTGCTTCTTAGGCAGAGTGTCAATCTCGTAGAGATGAACTTCAAAGAATCTCGATTTTGTTAAGGTGAGTCGAGAATGATGGCTTGGCAAGCATAGGTACGTACGCGGACAAGGCCTCAGCTCGTTCGTCGAACCAATCACGTGGTCTGAAATCGTGGCGATGCTCAAAGCTAGATTAAAGACTAGAATGATGATATGTGATTGGTCACTTTAACTACTATTGTATGAGCTGAATCTCATTACTTTTACCTGTGTTAGTTTTATCTGCTCGGATAAATAGTAGCAGTCGATAAAGCATCGTGTGGATTGCCGATGTGGTTTTGTTATATTAGGTATATTAGCTGCAAGGATTTTACTCTTATTTTGTATAATTAGAGTATGCAATTAATGAATATAAACGCAATGAAATGAAAAAAGGGGGCTGCTTCAAAGCTTTTCGAAGAGACAATGGCGGTGCTGTCACATTATTCTTCTGGGTCCTATGTAACACGAACTGTTAACCAATCAGCTATTCCAAGTTGAACAATGTAGGCTAGTCATCTACGAGTTATGTTTTCTAGTTCCGTGTAACCCCCTCGGCAGTATAGTGAGCAATAGATAATACTAAAGTCGTCCTTATAAAACATTACCTAAGTAGTCCCACAGTATCTCCCTAGAAATATTGCTGTTGTATGTTAGTATACTTAGGTAAGTACCTATGTAGCTTATAAACCAAGAGAATAAGGTAGCCGGAAATGAAAAATCCCATAACCGATTGGGGTGTCAAAATACAATTAATAGGAAATGTAACTCATTTAAGGAAATAACTAAGAAAGGCTCTATGCTAAGACATCCGATTCTTGACTCTTCGTCTCTGTAAGTTGTCCAGACTGCCACGCCAAACGCAATATTGGGGTATCTCTGAATGCAAGAAAACTAATAAACGAAGAGGGCATTCATGAACCATACATAGCGTGACTCGTAAGCGTTCGCACTTATCTGCCATCAGGTCATTATCCCAATCCCATCCACCTATATCTATTCCGTGATCACTTCTCGTATACGAGATCCAACATCCTAGTCTTGAGCGCATGCACAGCATAGCAACTAACCGAACCCAGAGTAAGGAGGCATCGTTGAAGTTCCAGGATTATTCTTGTTGGTAGACAATGATGGATGATGAACGGTGGAAAGTTCGTAAGAAAAATATTTGGCGAGGACGAGTGTTGAGACGGCAAATGCGCAATTGTGTGCTTTCCACGAACCCGAGGCACACGTTGACTAATGGATCCAGTGTCAGTATACTTATAGATGAGGAGGTAGATATTCGAGCTCACATACCTATTAGTGCTGTAGACAACCTAGGCTTTGTGCGTGTGTAGGGGACCAATAATCGTAAGTTGTCGTGGAATGTTCATAAATAATGGCGTTGAGTCTTAAAGACCCTCCATTATAGAAAGGAGTTCCGAATCAAGGCGCCTTGCAAGCCGAGAGCATTATGAAATAAAGAAAGAACAAGTAAACAAAAGGAATGGAGTCTCTTGAAGCTCTTATTTATGAGATTTCTTGTCCGACTTGTCGCCTTTCTTCTTGTCTACCTCTCTATCCTTGCTAGCCTTCATCTCCTCAATGTCAAAGGATAGTCTCTGTAGTCAATCAGTTAGCTTCAAACTATACAATGAAAATTCAAGTTCGGATTACTTACCTCGCACTTCCAACATTCTTCGGTCTTGATGTGGACGACTTTATGGTCAATGCAGGCCGTCAGGTGCTTGACGCAGAACTTCAGACTGAATTGCTTCTCGAGTCTGCAGTTACCCTTGCTCCTCAGGGGGCAGTGGTGCTGGTTCGTGGAGGTTTTATTCATGTGAGGCATCTTGAAGTTGTAAGTGAATGCTGTTGAATGGTGAGTTGGGTTAATCGTTGGTTAGAGGGGGGTTGAAAGATTGGTTGAAGAGATAGTTGAATGTCTGCTTATTGTAAAGACTGATGTAGTAAGAATTCGTCAATAATAAAAAACGAAAGGAAACCTCGTGTTCAAATATTATGTCCAGCTCATTGAGAATCGAGTATCAGCTGTCAACAAATTGATTGTTTCCTAAACGTCTGGGAGTCTGTATTTATCCACGTACTTTCTTTTTGTTTGCTATTGTTATAATGATAATGAGGTATGTTTTGTTTGAAATATTTTCTTAATGACTCCATTGTCACGGACACAATGCCTACAGGTCCTTTCATTAGAACAGCAAATGATACGACATGTTGTGGATTTGTTTACAGTATTTGCGGAAAGCCTAGACATACCTGATTACTTGACGGGAGGAGATTTTATCTTCCAAAGTGTATACAGCTGTAGGTGCATGAATAATGTTGTTTGCTTCAAGTACGCACAGAATATGAGGTAATAAGTGATGACGGCCTGGAGCTGCTCCTATGTACAGCCTTAGAAACGGCAGCTGTATGAAAACAGGTGATATTATACCCGACAGAGCTTCCTTAGTCAGTTAAGGCTAAGTTGTAATTTCTTTCCCCACCTCATGACAAATGTAAAACAATCGACTTAAGCTGTGGTCGTGTCTCCTGAACAGTGCCTAGACCATAACTTAAGTAGAATATTCATCTGCTACCATAATCCAACTAGACTCTAAGTACACACAGCTTCTTCATGACAGGATGATATGCTAAGACACCTGGAAATTATGTATAGTTGATATACCGTGAAATCCACAGAGAGGGCTCGTATTTAAATACATAGGTTAGGTACCTTTCATCTACTCAAACTATATGCATTATTCATCATTTGTCACGTATTTTAGAGGTTTAATATAATAGTCAAGACCTTGTTGGAATTATTGATATTATTGAGATATGGCAGTTTCTAGTAGCTGGCACATTGATATTACATAACAATATAATCTCTAGGAAAGGAACAAGATAATTTAAGGGGTTGACTTCGTTGTAATTAAACTGCCGCTTTCTATAGTATGATACATAAGCCAGCACGAGTCCAAGTCCAAGTGCCTTCCTTTAGGCTAGGTTCAACGCTCTCATCCTTCTCAGTACCGATACTCTCTTCCCGGCTGATAGTAGTATCCTCCATTTGCTCAGAAGTGGCGTTCTCATAAAAAGTCGTAGCATCCTCCTCCTGTTCAGAAGCACTCTCTTCTTCCATAATATCAGCACCTTTGTCTTGATTAGCCATGATATTCCTAGTTTGTTCAGTATAAATGTCTTTACCTATTCCAGTGTCTTGCTCCGAAGAACTTTCATCTCCTATATGGCAATCGCCGATTTGTTTGGTAAGGGAGGATGCTTCCCGGTCCTCATGATGTATCATCCTCCATTCCTCAAGCATCTCCTCGGCTTCCTTGAAGGCCATATTGGAACCCACACCCCCAATGGCGAATTGAACAAGCTGTCTCGCAAGTCGATAAGCAGGTTCATAAGCGAGCCGAATGTAGTCTGGACCAGCCGCCTCCTCAAAGAGCTGCTTTAGCTGGCGTCCTTCCGATGTCGGTGGTTCATCATTAGCCGTACGTTCGTCTTCTTCCTCATCTTCTTGCCATGCCCATAACCAAAGAGGCGGTTTGCAGCACATGAATTGGGGTGCAAAGACGGCGCTGTCCCAATCAAGGATAGTAGAAATGATGGGAGAACTCGTGTCTGATGTAGGATTGACGAGCACGTTGCGCGGCTCTAGATCTAGATGTGCTAACGACGTGTAGCAATTCTTAAACCATCCATCTGCTTCTAATTCCGCAGCCATTTTGCAGAACTTATCCATGAGTAAGGGTCCGGAAGTGTCCTTGGGCCACATCCTTAAGTCGTAGTCTTTCTGGGCTGTGAAAATATCTTGTAGGACTTTTTTGATATCTTCGACCACGGGTAAATTGCTATACTCTCTGGCGCATGGAACCTCAGGACGTTTCCACGGTAGAAGCTCAAGAGGTCCTGCTCCATCTATAGGTAGCACTAAAACACCGGACATGGCACTGCGAGTGGATAGTAACTCGGAATAGACATGGCCGAGTTCCCGCGCGAGTCTGCATCGCTCCTCGTGGGAAAGAGTTTGATATGAATATAGCAAAGTTTGCCCAGGAAGGCGAGTTTGAATAGTGTATCTAGTATTGAGCTCATTGTCCTCTGTGGCGTCGAATTTGATGACATCTGGAGCAGGAATCTTGCTATGTTGGTGGAGAAATCGTAGAGTAGCAACTTGACTATTCAAGTACATACTATCGAACCGGGGCATGCGTATGATGTAGCAGATATGAGTGTCGGGTTGTTCAGTCGGCTGTCGGGATATACCGATAATACGATTTTCTCCGCCTCCGGCCATCCGTTCCACGCTGATCTCTTCCTCGGTCGCATCGGGCCAGATTTCGTGAAGAGCAAAGTCGAGGACACGGGTTTGAAAGGTGCTAAATGGTTCTTCATCGGTATAGATAACTGAAGAAGAAACTGACTCGGCATCGGAGTCGCAACTCGAGCCCGAATATGAGCTAACGGAAGACATTGCAAATCAAGTGACCGGGATCGATATGTAGTGTTGGTAGCACCCGGCGGAGCGGCGATCCTGCAAGTAATGTGGGGCCGGTTATTGCTCAGATTGATGAACGGAGAAGAACGGGGCCCTGCCGGAATGTTGATGGTGATGTTTGAAAGGAAGGGGAAATTTTTGCGTAGATGATTTGAAGTAACAGATTGGGGTATTTGTAGTTTTCCGTGATAGAGCTTTGTAGCAAAGGCTGTTATAACGACTATTGTTCTTGTTTAGTTTTTTTTTTGTTCGTAAACAACAACGACCTTATGAACTTGAAGCTTTGTGAAATATTACCTAATCAGGAAATAAACCATTTGAGAAATAGTACGTACGTACCTAGGTACCTAAACTGTACTTAAGTACTTTCCTAGGTACATACGCATATGTTCGAGGCTTTCAGTATGATAGTGACAAAGGGTTGGTTTTCAGTCTTAGATGCATTGCCTTTGATTAAAAACAGCTTAATGTTTCCATGATAAGAGACCGTTTGGTTGCTAAGAAAAGCGGTTACGCAAAATGGAAAAGCTTTGTTATCAGCATATCTCTAAATCAGGTACCTTAGGTACATAGGTACGATACATATGTAGCTTCCAGCGTATTACCTACCCTATCCTGAGAATTGCCTAGGATATATGATCAAACTATCATGACTGTATGACAACAGAGAGCCTAAGTCATGGTATGTAGTTAAAATCCATAATAATTATTACAGATACCATCATGCAAACTCCAAGGCTTTAGGGTACGAACCGAGACTTATAATGCGACTCGGATACTCCCGCGAATTATTCACCGAGATAAACCAATGCTATAACTAACTTTGTTGATCCAATTTTCTCTCCATTCAAGCAGCTTAAGAACAAGCTTACTAACATACAACGTCTATATACAATATACACCTTCGACAGGTGGCAGTATGAAAAGTTAGCTCTCTGTGCTCTCGATTCCCCGCTCAATAAGCAGTTTGTCACCGAGTTATTATTATATTACTGAGTGACGTGTCTAAATAGCTCCTTGCATATGGTTTGCACTTGATGAGAAATATTTCCGTGAAATCTCATCATTTGCACTCCCATGCATCAACAAATTGCCCAGTCAGCACGACCAAATTTTGCCAGTGTCCCTGAAATTTGATAGGTTGCGAGACCGAGCCACAAGTCTCTCGTAAAGTAATTTAGCTTCCTTCCTTTGTAGATAGGCTTGTCTCGACGCTGGCAGAAACCAGCCACCTACAAACGTTTCCTTGCTGAAAAGCGTCCAGCCGTGGACTATGTCGACGTCGCAATAGCCTATTGTTGCTCGACTCAATTCGTGGTGGCTATTAATGTTAAAGATCGTCCGAGTACTATCCGAAGGGAGAAAAAGCCAAGCTTTGATGTGCCGTTACAATGGACGAGGGGCACAGAATCTTGGGGAGCGGAAGATATGGGTATGGAAGCCATAGTAATGCCTTGATGCCGTTTCCCGCTAGAGTTGTACAATACCGCAACGCATTGCAACGCCGTGCTGCAATTAGTCGTAGCGATATTACTTGGGAAGTAATTTCGCTCCCGTCTCACAACCACGTCATTTGTATGTAGGGCAACATTTCTTCGTTCTCTATCGTCAATTATATACAAGGCCTGCGTAGATCATCAAGTGGCCGGTACACGGCATGCGTCCACGTAAGACGCTAAACTGGAAGAGAAGCAATGCATAAGTAGAAACGGTAGCGCCGGGGTGAGGAGAAGAGCGGAAGAGCGCAAAAGCAGCTTCTCGGCCGGGCTGCCATAACCAACTACTCGCAGCTCACACGTGGATCAAATCGTACCGAATCAGGGTTGAAAATTAGGTACCAATTCTGTATATACATTTCCTGTACTTGAGACCGCCACTGTGTTTGTTAAAAAGAGCGCGCAGTATTGTTGGTGGGTGTGCCCGTTTGCCTTCTTTCCTTTCCGTTCTGTAGATTAACTAAATGCCTAGGCATATTAATTTGAAAGAGGGACTCGGTACCGATAACATGATAGTTGATACTGTTTTGAGGTATATAAGGTTGTGAACTAGGATATGATGTATTTGTAACAATATTCATTTTCCTACGGGCATGTATTTGCGACGAATTCTAGAACGAATCAAGAAGTTGGATAGGAGGAATGATTGTTGCTGGGATGCCGGGTTGTATTATGGAGTATTTCCAAGGCTGAATTTACTAGAAAAATACAAGGTTATACTAACACACGGATCTCTAACAACCCCTGAATTCCTCCCACTATGAGCCCATCGCTCCTCGTGTTAAGCGGTCGGTTTAGGTATGCGTGCCTTGTTCCTGCAGCTCTAGCAGTGGTACCTGCATGCGCTACGTAAGAAGATGCCTGACCAGTTATTGTAGCCGAAAGTCGGGTGGCTCTGTTTTTTGATTGGTGGATTTCCTTCGCTTGGCGCATTTGTTTGGTAGCCCTTGTAAACATGGCACAATAGAAAATATTAAACAGCTTCTCTCTGAACCTTCCCTTCATAGAAGGCTGATAAGGTATATTTAGCATGAAGCATGAGGCTGTCGATAAAGTGAATCTGGAAGGGAATGCCTAGAAATAAGGAGGAAATGTGTTTGAATTTTGTTTGACGCATTATATCAGAAGCTGCTAGGTTGCGCCCGTTCAACTATAATAGCCTTTAACAGTGAATGACATGTACCTTAGTAACCAACCGCCCAGTATGTAGACGTACCTGCATTAGGTAGGTATTATGGGCACATGTATGTCAGGTATGTACCTACCTGCATGTAGGTATGTACAATGGATGTTAGTCGTCAATTCAATATGGTCCCAAAAGAGCCAAAAGAGCCAATAGGAAGCAGTGGGTTTAGCCGACTTTCCGTCTGAACTGGCGGACAGGTGCTTCGTATCTTAGTACTTGGGTACAAACCCGTCAACTTCGAATCGGTTTGCGCTAGGTAATCGGATTGACTTTCCAAGATCTCTTCAGTGGTGCACAGGACGATACCTGGTACATTAGGTACGATTCTTGCCAGTCTTGGCGCTTAGTCCGGCTCTACGTAAATAGCATCTCCTGCAGCTAAAAAGACGCTAACTACCCCAGTTAGCGGCTGGCCAGAAGAGTCTAGCCACTAGGAAAGGTGGAAGGAACTCCTTGTCTTTCCCCCCTCCCCCCTTTGCCCCACAGACATCCCGATTGCTGGATGAACCTGCAGGTACACACACTCACTTAGTTACTTCCTCACAACCGTCAGCAACATAAAACTCCATCCACGGACCCTTTATCCATTCTTTTTCTCACTCAGCACCGTTTTTTCCATCTCGGTTATCTCCATCGAGAATCACCGCTCTTTTTCTTATCCCCGTACATTCATTTCTCCCTTCGTGTACATTTCCTCTATAAGGTCGCCAGCTCGACCTACTTGCCTCACCTAGCTGTGACTGGCCTTGAGTTGATAGTTGCCTACCAACATCGTTACCCTCTGTGTGTTGTCCCCCGTCAAACGTCGCACACTCACGGCCGCAACTACATCCAATATTTATTGTCCAAGGGTGCAACTGATCTCTCATCAAATTCGCATCATTCCTTCTGCGTCTTTGATAGACTGCACGACCTGCTTCCCGTCTTGTCGCCGGTACACCCCAATACGCAGCGCGTACAAACCCCCTTCGACAATTTCATTCATTTCTGACAGTATCATCTGATACGTCTCTTCCCTCCTTTGACTGGACTGCTGGCACCTTAACACTCCTTCAACGGAAATCGTAACAATTCTCGAAAGAAGAATACAGAGCATAACTTACATAGTCAAATCGACTACACTAAAAATACCATCTAGCACATCATTAACAATCATTGCAATCACAAAGATCGCCCAAGATGCACGCCAAGCTTAGCATTTTGGCGCTTGCCGCTGTAGCCTCAGTTCAGGAGGTCTGCGCTGGCCCTATTCATCGCCACAAGCACCCCAAGAAGGACATCGTCTACGCATACACCGACGTTGTCGTCGTTACTGAATGGGTGACTCATACTGTCATTGCTGGTCATGAACCTACTGAAGCGCCAGTTGTCGAGTCTCCCCCAATCGTCCAGGCTCCTGCTGATGCTCCCTCGGTCGAGAACCCCCCTCCGGCAAACCCTACCACTGAGAACCCTCCACCGCCGAGCACATCTGCCGAGGCTCCTGCGCCTGAAACTCCGGCTCCAGAGAGTCCTCCTGCCCCAAGCCCTTCTTCTGAGAACCCTCCTCCTCCTCCCAGTTCGTCTGAGGCTCCTCCTCCCCCTCCAACTTCTTCGGAGGCCCCCCCGCCTCCTCCCCCTGAGACTCAGGCCCCTCCACCTCCCCCGGCCGAGACACCGCCCCCAGCTGATCCCGCACCACCCGCGTCAACGGAAGCACCTGCTCCCCCGCCGCCTCCCCCTGCTCCCGCAGTCAGCAAGCGAGGTGCCGCGTACAACGACCCGAACCTTGTTAGCGCTATGGTGAGCCAGACTGACAAGATCTCATGGGCGTACAACTGGGGATCTGACTCTGGTGGATTACAAGCCAAGATTGCTTATTACCCTATGCTCTGGTCTCCCGCACCGGACCACTCTAACAACTGGGATGAGAAGGCCGAAGCCGCTATTGCCTCGGGATCCGACAGTTTCCTCAGCTTCAACGAGCCTGATATCCCTAGTCAGGCTAACATGTCTCCTCAGGATGCTGCGAACGGTCACAAGCAATTCATGAACAAGTATGCTGGTAGGGTCAAGATCAGCTCGCCGGCCATTTCCAGCAGCGATAATCCGGGCATGGGTATCGACTGGCTTAACCAGTTCTTTAATGCATGCGGCGGCCAATGCCAAGTTGACTTCTGCGCTGCTCATTGGTACGGACCTGGAGGTGATAACGGCGCGAACCTTTTCCTGGACCACATCAAGAAGGTTCACGACGCTTGCCAGGGCAAACCCGTTTGGGTTACCGAGTTCGCGGCAACGGATGGCGACATCGACCAATTCATGAGATCCGTCACCCAGGGACTGGACAGCGACGAGTTTAGTTTCGTCGAGAAGTACTCGTATTTCATGGTGAACCAGGGCAGCCTCATGTCTTCGCCAACGGACTTGAGCTCATTCGGCAGAATCTTTGCAGGCATCTAAGACAACTCCGTTGAGGGATACTGTTTCTATTCTTTTATCACTTTTGTTTTAGGTGGGGTTTAGGTTTTAGGGGCAAGGGATTTTGCATTGCGAGGGAACACAAAACGTCGGCATTTCACTTCTTTGTACATACTTCGACTGGTTTTACCGGTTGAGCCGCTGGATATCCATCTGGATCTGCTTTGCTTTGCTAGGTTGTAAACATGCGCGAAAGGATATCTTAGGATCGTGGCAGATTCATGAAGATACGAATAACAACGAATTGAAATTCATCCAAGTATTGTGTTGCAGTAGCATATTTATTGTATTGTCGTCTCGCAGGTGTAATGTGTTGTCTTATGGCTGTACGCAACTCTAGTACATACCTGTCTAGGTAGATAGGTTAAGTACCTATTAAGCTATGCTTTGCTAACGAATCGATTACTCAGCTTGAGTAAATCGTCTAAAACCTTCAATTAACTAAATCATCCCAATTGAAGAGATGCTCAAGTAGAATGTTGGGGGGTTGTGACGTAATTCCAAACTCATAAGGGAGCTAGATAGGCAGAGGAGGAACTCTACTGTTGGGTTCCCTTCACCCGCGCCATTTATATGCGAACTATTAAACATTACTATAACTAACTACCTAGGTTAACCTACTTAACATATATAACCCCGAGGCTACAATATAAACACGGAACCAGGTCATGCGAAATTCTTATAGATAGGTCTGTTCTGTCAATTATGCCGCACATGCTTTCGTTTCGAATTATGCGGGCGTACCGCGGGTCATCATCACATAGATCAATCACATGCTTTTACCTACTCCCCCCTCCCCTTTTCGCTCTGATCACTTTTTTTCTTTTTTCTTTTTTTTTTTTTTTTTCGCGTTTCCAAATTAATTACTAGACCCAACCCACCACCTCGCCGTTCTCCCCGCGCCCCTCTTCTTCGGCTTGGATGAGCTCGTGCCATCGCGACCCCGCGTCCCCTCCTACTTCGAAGTCTAGGCGGCTGATGTAGTACTCGCGCACGCTCCCGCGCGCCGCTGGCCGTGATCGCGATGCTCGTGGTACTGGTGCGGGGCTGTGCGACCTCGACGGTATCGATGTAGACGTCGGTGGCGGCAGCGGCGGCGGTGGCGTCGAGGTCGTGGCGGTAGTGGAGGACCAATTCGTCCGCCGGCCCCGATACCGGCGTATCCGCTCCAGGTCCGCGGCTACCGCTGCCGAGACAACAGAGGAACCTTCGTGCGTGGGGGGCTGGGTAGAAGTAAGCGACTTGCCTGAAGCTCGGTCGTCCGTCCCTGCGTCCGCTCGTGCAGATTGTGGCGGCGGTGCGCTTGTCCAGATGCTGCTGGTTGCTCTCTCGTTCCTAGCGCCATCGCTGATATCGCCCTCTAGGCCGTCGTAGATGATAGGGGTGTGGAAGCCGTCGTTATCCTCGTCGAAGCGCAAGGACCCGGCCTTGTGCTTAGACACGCTGCTCGTACTCACGACGTCGGTCTCGGTCCCGGGCTCGATTTCCCCGAAGATATGCTCGTACTGCGAGGTGCTAGTCGTTTTCAACGGTAGCGAGATGGCGAGTTTCTGGCTGCGCCGACTTGGAAGCGATGGTGCGCGCGGGGGCGGACGATACGTGGCTCGGCTGTCGGGGGTGTTTGAATTAGGAGAAGAGGAAGTAATAGTATTGTCATCGTCGCGTGATGTGACCCATTGGATGATCAATGTGGAGAATAGGACTGGTAACTGGTTAGTCGGCTGGTTACTCAAGGTTTGTGATCTTGATCTCTCGCAGATAAAAGCAAGTATGCCAAGGGATACACGCGGCCCGCTTTACGCTGCACGAGTCGAAGCATGCTTGGACAGCAAACAAGAATCGCGAGAAAGAAGGGGCTGACTTACTATCCGCATTACAACACGCGAGGAAAATCCAACCGGGCTCACCGTTGAGCACCATAAGGACTATAAGATTTCTTCAAGCGGCACTCCCCTTAGCTTTTGTTCCTAGGATTTGCACAATGATTGCGACCCTATAGGTGGGAGCACTTACACTATGCTTGAGGTAGTAGTAAATAGAGCGCCAATGAAGGTTCGTATTGCTGCCGGGCGTAGACCAGGGGAGTTAACCGGTGCGTTAGAGGCGCCCTTGAGCGAGTAGATATCTAGCAAGTGATGATAGGAGAGTCAGCCAAGACAACTTAGACGCAGAGAAAACCCGACATATGAAAATAGAATATGGATCATATAGAAGTCTTACTCCATAGTGGATTCAAGATTAACGCCATGATATAGACCTGTTTTGTCTTTTAGCATTGATCCTTAATGAATGAAAGGGACACTGGTGTAGCGTACATTTGCCACAATCTCGAGTACTATGAGAGGTATCAGGGCCTGTTTCTCTATTCCAATGATACACCGTCCCTTATTCATTTGCGCCGCACGACTGTTGAGTGGCGGTCAGTTGAGTAACAAACTCTTCATGCATTGCAAAGCTCCTTTTCCAGACTTACTAGACGAAAGTCAAAATACATATAACCGCAAATATAGCTATTGACGAGTAAGCAAGCCTTGTTCTTGGTCAACCGGCAGTGGGTATAAACTTACTGAGCACGCCAAATAAATTGAAAATGTAGAGCTTAGACTCGACCCGTCGTCTCGTGCCGTCCTGAAGTAGAAACTGGTTTATTTTTAATGAGATGCTAGATCTAATTCAGGGGAAGGGGAATAGTTCATGCACATACAGCTTTTTCGACCTGGAAAATATAGATTAACTGCCCAAATAGAAACGTGAGCACATTGAATTTTCCAAATTAGAACGGGATTCATTCTCACAATCTGGTTTTGCGTTAGCTCAATACACGAGAAAAGGAAGAGGGAAGAGAGTAAGACGGACTTTAGTCGTTACATAGAAGAATAAACACAGCAAAATGGCCGCCGAGCAGACGCCTAAGTTCGAGTCGACGCCTATGCCGTAGTCGACAATACTCGACCCGAACACGAAGGCCCAGGAATCAACGTAAATTGCGAAGATCACTAGGAGTAAGAATATCTCAAATTAGTTACCCATGTATAACGCTCGGCTGTAGAGCGATGGTCTAGGCAGTTAGGCGTACATAACGTGACAAGCGATAGACGCGACCATGCCTTTACGGCAAGCGCCCGTTGTGCTATATCTATTATTAGCACACTGATATACTCTCATACGAGAAGGAATAAAATGGACCGCATACTGATGAAGCATGATAGAATAGTAACGGTAGCGAATGATAGGATCACGACAATGACTGTTCCAGCGAGCGGCCTAGGGGATGGAACCGGTAACGAAGACGTGCCATCCCTGGGTAGCAGAAGCGAAGCCATATCGGATATTTTATTCTCGACAGCACGACCTAGTAGACTATGTGAGAATATCAAAGCTGGAGCGAACGAAAATGGATGACCAGAAAAGGAAACGAGAGGAAAGCGAGCAGAGGAATGACTGACATACCGGAGCCGGTCGCAAAATGAAGGAAGCAGGGCATAGTCCGAACCAAATGAGCCCATATAAAGTTTAATCTGTTAACCCCGGGGCCGCCATAACGCCATTAATAAGGTCGTCGGTCTATCCCAACTTGAGGATCCAAGCCTGTTGTAGTTGGAGAGTGCCCCTTTTGGACGAACTTTCACGGACTAGACATTGTGTAGATGGAAACAAATGATCTACCAATAGCGCTAATAGGAGTCGAACCTAGAATTCACTTAACAGCTGAAGAAAAACCACATGGAAGGAAAGCGTGAGGCACACGGTAAGGGGTATTTGAGTCCCCGGGGCCGAGGAGCCCCTATTGAAACCTAAAACAATACAACACATTTTCCATCCTCGAGTCCAGCCAACATCTAACACGCCATCTAAAAGAGAAACATTCCTATCCAGCATAAGTAAGCAGCGTGAACCGCACAAGTTCCGAGTCTCAGACGTGCGTAACACGAACGAACAGATATATCCCCAGCCCCTTACAACAGTGCTCATATACTACTGCTAGTAGGCTCGGCGGAACAGAGAAAATCATACGTGTCCCTAGAGCTTGAGACGAGATAAACTTTTACCAAGCTTGCCGATCGACAGAGTTCTAGGTTTTTCAAAGCTGAGCCTTCCCCCCCACCCCTTTCTTTGATCTCGCCACCCACTTTCACACGAAGGTAGGGGTCAACCTGCCTACGCTTCTTTAAAAGGGGGATTGATATTCCTCGAGTCTGCCTCTAGTTATCCGCGAACAGGTGCAGGGTAACATATTGCGTAAGATAGTTTTTAACCGCACGGATCCTATAAAGGCCTTATAAGATATGGTGCTCTCTTCTGATCAGGAACTTGGGCATCATCTCATCATCAACGCACTCTTTTCTTGTTCTTTTTCTACGATATTGTACAACATCTCTACTATACCCGTATGGCTCGTGTTTACTTGATCAGTTTACTATCAGTCTTATTCAGAATATGGCACTGTCATCTACTGCCTAGGGCCTATTTCGTGGTGCTTGGATAGTCGGAGTGATAGTCATACCCTGTAGCAGACCTTAGCTCCTGTTCATTAGGAACTTATAATTCCTAGTAGGATTTGAAATAGACTGGTCAAGTCTAATACTTAGCCCCGGTATTCAGCGGGCTCTTCGGGTCGTATACATCGGTCGTAATCGCCTCGGGGTACTTGATATCGCCCTGCTTAAGCGCCTCATCCATAACCTCCATGATAGCGATACTCTCGGACCACGGCAGAGTAGCGCTCTCCTTCTTGCCGTCGCGCAGACATCGCGCGCACTCGTCCGCCTCCCAGAACATGCCGTGGCCCCAGCCTTCCCGCTCCGGATCCTTCGGGATCGGGCAATCGATGACGTCGACCTTGCCGCCGCCGTCTTTGCGCACGATCTTGTACTGCAGGGGCGAGAAGGCGGGGCCCATGACGTGGATCTCGCCGAGGGGGCCCTGGATCTTGATGGCGGGGCCGCCGCTGTTCTGGCCGTCGGTGTTGGTGGCGAGGCGCAACGTTGTCATGGCGATTCCCATGCTCTTGTGCTTGGGGAACTGCAGGATGATGTTAGTCGACTCGTCGGCGCCGGTTGAGTATTTGTTGATGGCGGCGACGGTGCGGGGGGCTTCTTTCTCGGGTTCGGGCTGTAGATGGTAGAGGATTTGGAAGAGCCATGTTATTGAGTAGACTCCTAAGTCTAGTAGTGCGCCGCCTGCTAGGTCCGGGTTCACCATTCGGTTTTCGTCGGGAAATGTTAGGGTGCCGTTTGGTCCGTCACAGCCAAACGAGTTGTCGGCTATAAGCAAATGTTAGAATCTGAGAGTTGAAATTGGCGCTCTGGCACTTACCTATCACTCGGTATATGGGACCAATGGCTCCAGACTGCACCAATTCTCGGATCTTGATGCTAAGAGGGAAGTACCGCGTCCAGACGGCTTCCATCAGGAAGAGGTTCTTGGCCTTGGCAGTTTCAACCAACTTCCGCGCCTGAGAAGCGGTTACTGTAAAAGCCTTCTCACACAGAACATGCTTGCCAGCTTCCAGAGCTAGCATAGTGTTCTGGAAATGATGACTGTGGGGAGTTGCAACGTAGACAATCTCGACGTCTGGGTCGTTTACCAACTCAGCGTAAGAGCCATACGCTCTGGTGCCTTCTGGGGCCTTGACCTTTTCGAGAAAAGATGTAGCGCTCTCCTTG